TATGACAAAACAAATAATCAAACTGAAAATAAACTGCATAAAGATAAATAATACAATCAATTGTTAACCCAGTTTGATGCAACATCACCTACATCTAGGGGTATCCAAACCAGGAAGGAAATTCACTATGACAATATTAGTTCAAAGCTAAACTTCCCCGTTTACAAATTATCACCTAATCACTACCTTGTGCAACTTCTACCTAGAAACTCTCTAGATATGAGATCCCCCTTTCACTTCCTAATAGTCACAAACTAGTGAAAATACCGCACCAGAGCAGAATAGAAGAGCACTCTTCGAACTACAGTACTTAGTTTTGCTTAAAAACTTTAAACTAAGAACAATACATTCATGCTTAAGAGCTCTTAAGTGAACAATAAACAACATACAATCAGTCTAACTCACTGTAACAAAAGATACAAAGGTGACTTACAACAAAAAACCTTAAGAGACTCTCAAAACCTAATTTTACAAAATTATGAAAGTCAAATTACATTAGGTTTAGGTTTATCTTTATATACACCTTAGAAGCCCATGGGCTTCAGAATCTTCACCGAGATACTTCTTGATCCACACGCCAAGGGCTGCATCAATTGTGCAGAAAAATCTCCTTGAATCTTGGAACAAATCATCAAGTTTCCTAAATTGTCCGAACATCCAATTTTAGAAACTTATGAACAGTTGGAGATCAAATCAAATATTCCAGATTAAATCCTCTTGACCTGCGAAAATAAGTGAGATATATCAAAATGAAATCTCATAAAATCAAATCAAATATGTCAAGAATAAAATAGCTTATACTGATGTTCTGGTACTGTATGTCACAACATCTGTCACAACATCTTCCTTCAATGTGAACTGACCAACATGTTAGAACATTTCACACATCTTGCTGTGAACCATGTTTTAGCAAAAAAGTTGTCAATCCTAAAACCATGGTTCTAACAAATCATATACAAGGATGGAAAACAAAAGCAAAACAAGTGTCTATACAAGCATATATACAATATAGACAATTATGTACAAAGGTCTAGAATTTAGAATCTAACAGATTTTCATCTTAGATCAAGTTTGAACCGTTCATGTCTGCAATAATCCAAACCCATTAAGATAAATATTGAAATTAAAGATAACATCGATAAATATTTGTAAAAAAGATTTTAAACAACGATCAATAAATATACATACAATGAAGGTAAACTTACATAGAAAACCCCAACAAATAGAAAATATAAAGAGAAGAGCGAAATTGAACCAGTAACTCTCGCGATGTTATGACGATTATCACAAATTCAGCTCCAGATCGTCAAGATGCAACTTTTAATCTTGTTTCTGATATTCTCTATACAAAAGAATGGTGGTGATGGAGTTGGAAGCAAAAAATCCCAAAACCATACCTAAAAACATTGTAAAAATGAATATATATATATATATATATATATATATATATATATATATATATATATATATATATATATATATATATATATATATATATATATATATATATATATATATATATATATATATATATATATATATATATATATATATATATACACGCATAATTGAAATCCCACCACCGCCCAACGACCATGGCACCCTTTGTTACTGCCTCTACAGTGCTTTTCCCCGCCTCTGAGTCGCCTTCGGCTCGCCTAGCGAGCATGACAAATATGAAAAAAATCAGCTCTTATTTCGATCATAACTAGAGAACCGTAATTCCGATTTACGCACGGTCAGAAGCGTTGGAAATCTTATTCAATGCTCTATAAGAAAATGACTACAAAGATGAGATAAAACAATCAAACTCAATGATATTTACATGATAATGCAATATATACACTATAACATAAACTATACCAACTATACACTAAAGTTGAGGTTTATTGACGAAAAGCAAATGAATTAAGCCAGTGAGTGCTAATTATTCACACTCAAACTCACAATAATTTAGCACTTATCAGTAACTGAGACTAATACATTTATTGACTTTTCATAGTTGACTTTAGCCTCGGCCTGGCCGCAGCTAATAGAGCTTTTCTTGACTTCTTAAAGTTAACGTTAGCCTCGGTGTAGCCGAAGCTAACAAATGTTTGACTTTTTATAGTTGACTTTAGTCGTGGTCAGGCCGCAACTAGTTGTATGATTGATTTTTTCTTACATTTGTCTTTTTAGCGTTGGCTGTGTGTTAGCCTCAATGTAGACTCGGTCAAACCGATGCTATTATAAACACAACTGTAAATGACTAAACATGTTAACTTCGAACAATTTAGACTACCCCCGACACTGACGCGAAATAGGTTGTAGTGTCAGTTTTTAGTCGTTTAGCGTCAAAAATAGCCGACGCTAAATACTGTTTTTCTAATGGTATGACTGTACAAAAGTAGTAAGCAAGAATAATCAAATATGTGCTTGGAGAAAAATTATCCAAGTGAAACATACAAGAGAACACTTACACAGCGAAGAATTGATTTACGACAACAAACGTAGCAAATAGAGCAATAACATAAATAATCACAAATTAACAAAACAGAGCAACAATGAACATCTTTATGAAAAACATAGCAAGAAACAAACAAAATAGAGCAACAACAAACAAATTTAGGAAAGACAACGATAGAACGCAGGAGAAAGAGAGAACATAATGCAAACCTGAAGGATGAGAGACGAACATGAGCCCATCAAGAAAAAGAGAGAAAGAGGAAGAAACATCAATGAATGAGGAAAATCTTCTGTGACGCCATCGACTCGTTGTTGCGGAAGGAAGAGACTCAGATAGGGACATTTCTAATTCTAAATGTATTATCGTATAAGCAATAAAATAATGTTTTTTTAATAAAAAATGGAAACATGGGCCATTTCATTTCATTTTTAAAAAAATAGACTCATACAGACGTCATAGACTCGTGAGTCTATACGAGTTTGTGCGAGTATACCCGAGTCTACTAAACTAGAGTATATACAAAAATAATTTTATGTACTATTCTACTCGTTTTGCTTCCTAGACTCGCAAACGCGTACTCGCGAGTTTGACAATCATGATAGTGACTATTTTATAGCATTAGAGCACTTATAGTACAAAGAGATAGTTAGATGATATAGTTAATCTATGGGATCTAGGATTATAGATTCCATCTTAGATCCTTATGCATCAGCTTGTTAGAATTCATTTAGATATATTTCTCTCTTTCATTAGTTGGATATTTCAGATAAGCAGGTTAAAGAGGGTGAAAGAAAAAAAATTGACCTAACATGAGGGATCCTTACTTGTATTAGGTTTGACTTCATGATATATTGAGAGCTAATTAAAATATATTGTATTTGAGTTATTTGATTACTTAATACTTATGTGTGGGATATGTGCTAGATACCCCAATGGAATATTCAATATGTCTTAACTGGGTAGAATGGTATTGAGATATTCAATGGCTAAGATCGTAAATCCATTAAGCATAGTTTATCACCCCGTGTTGGTAATGAAGACTCGATGGAACATTTTTCCGTTGTGTCGAGGAATTCGTCCGATAGTCGGTGTATTAATCATTCTGATGTTCGTTGTAAAATTTTTACTATGGTCCATTTTCATATATTTATATTGATGTATCGAGTACCAATTATTAATATCTTTAGTTGTTATTCTAGATATATGACTACGAGTGTTATAGTTAGTATCAGAACAGATAGAACCAACGATCTAGTCATGGGTCATTAGTGTCAAGTTGCAAGTAAGATTATAGAAAATTGACTAGGGAATTTATACTACCAGTTTATAAGTGTTAAGTCTGATTAGCTTAAGGTTTATGTGTGATAAGGGGGATCACGTAGTCGATACTCAGAAGGGAGTAGTGGGATTGAGCATATTCGCTTAAGTTCAAGAACTTTGGAGAAGGAAATCTCGAGACTAATTGAGAACGACAACCACTAAATAACTTATGAACTGATGAAAACTCGAAGGAATAGTGACAAGAATTCACAATCAAATGGAAACTGTGGAACACTTATGAACACCATATCCTGAATAATCAGACAATCAAATTGAAGAAGCTTCCTACCATATTAACCAAAATGTCCCATGAATTGGATAAGATATGTTGGTGGTCTAGCACAAAAGTAAGATAATGTTAAATAGAATTCCAAAATCTGAATTTTTTTAGTAAAGATTGAACACCACAATCATGTGTCATACAATGACCGGGGAGTACTAAATGAACACTGAAAAAGGATTTAAAACTTTAATTTGATTACCTAATGTGTAAGGGAAGAAAGGATTCTAATTAAGTAATTATGGATACAGTGGTTAAATCAACTCATCTATTGGAGTCTAAGTTGTCTATGACATATTAAAGTTGAATGTGATTTTGAAAAAATTAAAGTTAATTTGTATGACTCGTACGATCAAGATTTAATAGTTAATATCATCTCAACATGAATGCGTAAAAACCTAATTGCAATTCGTGAAAACTCCAACTAAAGATAATTCAAATTCATCTTTCTACTCTCCTTGTCTTCTCTCTGGTCTCTCATGTCTTTCTCACTTTTTACTCACATTTATGCTTATTTATTTTGTCCTCCATTTGGTGCAACTTTTGTTGCTAAATTTTAGCATATTCCTATCAAATAAGTATAAAACACAAATAATTGAAGAAATAAAGTTGATATAGAAAAGATAGAGATGAAAAGAAGAAATAATTTGCTTGTACTGTAATTATCAATCACTATGCTATGCTGTGCTGTATTGTGTATTACTCTATGTCTGTCCTTTCATCCCTATCCCCTCATTTCACTGTGAAATGTCTTTGGCTAAGGCTCACCCACGCGTCATCCCTCAATTAGCCACTCTGTAGATCACCCCTACCCCACCAGATAGTGATACCTTACCTCTATTACCACAACCACACATACCTCCCATTCTTACCCACACTACCAATCCAACCACAACACTTCACCAATACACTCACAACACTTCTCAAACTTCTAACTAACTCAAAAAACAACAAATGGCTACTAAGCTCTGTGATTCCTGCAAGTCAACAAAAGCAACACTATTCTGCCGTTCTGACTCAGCTTTCCTTTGTATCACCTGTGACTCCAACATCCACGCCGCCAACAAACTCGCCTCCCGCCACCACCGCGTCACACTCTGCGAAGTCTGTGAACAAGCTCCTGCTCACGTCACATGTAAAGCAGACGCCGCCGCTCTCTGCGTCTCCTGCGACCATGACATCCACTCCGCGAATCCTCTCGCTAGCCGCCACGAACGCATCCCGCTCAACACTTTCCACCACAACAACAGCCAGCAACAATTCTTCTCCGAATCCGATCCAGATGCTGACGTCAGCACAGAAGAAGCCGAAGCTGCTTCCTGGCTCCTCCAAACTCCCTCCAACCCTAAAGGCCCCGATCTCAACTCATCTCACTACTCATTCACCGAAATCGACGCTACCGACCTCAATTTCGTCTCCGTTGACGCTAAAACAGACTCGCCGGAGGAACATAGTCCCGGCACTGCAGACGGAGTTGTGCCGGTGCAGTCTCATAGCAAAACCGTCACCGAACACTACTCTGATATCAACAACGATTTCTCTACTTCTAAACCTTTTACTTACACCTACAATCACACCGTAAGAACGAAAACGAAAAAGAAATGCTGAATTTACCTCTTCGATTTGAAATCTGACACGTTTTTTCTTTCATGTTGTTCAGGTATCATCACCTTCGCTGGAGGTTGGAGTTGTACCAGACGGGAACGTGATGTCGGAGATATCATACTGCGGCTACGGAAGAACGGAGACGGTGCAAATCACGGCGGCGGATAGAGAAGCTAGGGTTATGAGGTACAGAGAGAAGAGAAAGAATCGAAGGTTCGAGAAGACGATTCGTTACGCTTCGAGGAAAGCGTATGCAGAAACTAGACCTAGAATTAAAGGAAGGTTCGCAAAACGCTCTGATTTGAATATGAATGTGAATCTAATCGCTGAGGATGAGTCTTATGATGGATACGGCGTTGTTCCTTCTTGTTGAATGATTTGATTTCAAGTGTTTAATTAATAATAATAATCTTGAGTATAGTATAGGGCTCTTGAATTTCATTAACCTATGAATTAATGATGAATATACTATAGTTTGTAATATGATGTTGTATTTTTTTGAGGCTTCTGTATATATTTTTTGTTCTTATGGATGAGAAGGATATGCAGGATAGTATGTTAATTTCTTGAAGTTTGTTGTAGTCTTGTAGATGAAGTGGATGTTAATAATCAATGAATTTTGTTGGCTAAGTTTTGATTATGCGAATATATTGGTTATGTGATTATTAGATTTTGGCCTCTTGGATTAGAGTATCTAAATATGAAACGCCATTGATGCATGGATACGTGATAAAAAACCCTACGGAAATTTATATTATAATATTAGATCTTGTTGAAATGCAGTTTGTGTGATTAGAAAATAGTTTTTTAATAGCTTTGGTGCATTGGTTCTATTTTCAGGATTTCTGGTTGGAAGGGAATGTATCCCTCTAATAATTTGTACGGGTCCCATGGTTTATACTTTATTTATGCCTTACGCAGTAACATGTGGCTCAAATTGAAATAAAGTGTGAACTCATAATTATTTTTCGACTAACAATATCTATAATAATAAAATATAGGAAAAATTATAATCATCTTATTTAATGTTTCCTTATTTCCATTAAAATGACACATTTAAAAAATACACTAATCTCTATTAAATTTATATGTGTCAACGAAAGTTTTTAGCGTCAAACAAAGAACGGTAGATAAATATCATTTATGCATGCAATTTTTCTCTCTAATTAAGAAAATGTGTTACTGCTATTTTAATAGACATCAGTGGAAGTTAGTGCAGGACATAAGACTTCAAACACAAAAGGATGATGAATGGTATGAGATTGAAGATATATTTTCAAAATAAATTCTTTTACAAAAATAAAGTTTAAATGTTTTTTTTTAAGAAGCCGAAATAAATAATCAAGATAGACTGAGTTAAGAGATGAGAGAAAAGCATCAGAATCATAGAGGTCTAATGAAGTGACATACATCTCTAAGAATTTATTTTTGAGAGTTTTCACTATGATGGGAGCTTTTAACAGGTTATGCCAATGAAACTCCTTATATAAGGATTGAAGTTTTTCAATGGTTAACTTTCCAACTAATATGACGTTTTAACTACTGAGTACTCCACAACCAACTCAGAGCTTTTTAACATCAAGCTAAGCTCACGAACCGATTGAGAGCATTTAACAGTTAGTTAAACTCACAAACTGACTGAGAGTTTTAAATATGAAGACCTCTCCAACAAAACAAATATTTTATTTGATTAACCTCAACAATCAAACAAGAGCTTTTTACTTAGTTAAGCTCATAACCAAACCAAAATTTCCCCCAATAAGAAATTAAAATTATGTCCTTACACCATACAAAACACCTCATAGATATAAAGGTTTCACTCTAAAAAACAATAAGACAAATGTGAGAAATAAAGAGAGAGAAAGGAGAGTGAGAGAAAAATATTTTAATACATTATCTAGTGTGTGAAAAATGATAAAGACTCTCTCTATTTATAGCACAAGAGGAGGCTCAAAATGAAAACTCCATGAGCTTTTAAAGTCTCTTAATCGATTATGCACATTCAAAATTCACTATATAAATAATATATATAACGTCAGTCGAGAAATGCATATAACCTCGGCTACACATGCGAGGTAATAAAGGGCGACATGAAAATGAATCACTTATCACCTTGGTGTTTTTAAAACCGAGGTTAGAAATTAAAAAGTCGTGGGTTTGATCTCCAACATCAGCATTTTTGTAATTTTCAAAACTAAATGGCACGCCCAATGTTAACACTCAATGCTTTGTAGAATCGAGGTAATATTTCAATATTATTACCTCGATTTTATGTAAATATCGAAAGGATAAGTTTTTTTTGTAATGTCGTTGCACCTGTATTACAGAACCATTTAAAGAACCATATTCTTAAATATAGAACCATATTTTGCAGATTCCTTAAGCACCTATAGTTTGGGCAACATTTGAGACTAATTAGGTCAATCAACAACAACTTTAAATATATAGTACAATGATTAAAAAGGAGTAAAATGATTAATTATAAATTTCAAAGAGATACAAAACATTTACTTACTAGTTTTTCCATATCCCCTCTTCATGATCAGGACAAATATCATGCACATCATTTGAATCATTTTCTTCAGATACTTGACGTACATGTGTTGCTAAACAAGACAACTTATAGTTAAATTTTGATTTTCATCAGTACTATTGGAAAGATGTTTACGTTAAAGAATAATTGATCATCTAGTGTTAGAAGGATCATTGACATAAATAATTTGTTTAGAAATGAAAAATTACATTTAGAAATATCGTATGCACTCCAAGTAATTACATTAAACTTAGGCATAAGTGACAACCATTTGTAAATATTTGATGCACTACTCTCTTTACAAATGAAAAATATGTGGGAAAATTTGAATTCTGATAAAAAAATCAAGAACAACTTTTCTTCTTCCCAAAAGAGAGAAACAACTATAATGATTGAAATTTTTCTTCATTTCTCAAGACAGCCACACGTCATTCAAGAATATCAAACATCAGAAGTAATCATTATGAGCATTAAATCACTAGATATTTCATCTTCCATGAGTGGCGCTTGAGTCACTCAATATCTTCTATAAAAGCACACTTTCATATAGTAAATTTCTTCATTTTCAATCTACTCTTCTTAACTTCTAGAAACACGAGTTCTCCATCTGAGAAGGCTAAGAGCATTATCTCAACAGAAGTCACTGTTGAGAATAAAACCATCACCACAATACAACATCATCAACAGTCAACTGAGGAGGTCCAACTGTCGCGGTAAGAATCGGATATCAAGCTATTGATTAACTTGAATCACAAATCTTAATTCATCATCAATCTTTAATTTATCCAAGGAAAGGGAAAAAGAACGAATAACCCAAAATATGTGCTAGCATCCTAAGTATATGTAGTACTCTACAGGAACCTCTTGTTTTATTGTGTTATTTTGTTATTTGTCTGCTAAAGGGTGAAAAGGTAAAGGGAGACCTAAGGTGTTATTTCTAAGTATGTTCGCCAAGACATCGCATCTCGTGTCTACGTATCCTGACGATAAAGGAATCAGAGCATTCGCAATTCTCCTCAATAAAGTGAGGAACTCTTGACTATGGTTAAGGTTCCAAAGAGAAGATGTAAGTGTCTATGGCAGAACATCTACATAGAGTTAAGAAACTCTAAACTTAAGGCTAGGTTAAAAGGGAGGTAAGTGTCCAGGGCAGGACACTACATAGAGTAAGGCGACTCTAATCCTAAGGCTATGATGAAAAGGAAGCAAATGCCAATGGCAGAACACATATCAAGAGTGCAGCGACTCTAGTCCTAGGATCGTGATGAAACAGGAAGGACCTAATGTTAGGCTAACTATGACATGGCAGTCAATAAAATGGATCTTTTCCTTTGGAATGAAATAAACAGGCGAATCATAATAGTCCTAAAAGCCACAAGAGAATAGGCATAAAAAATGGGACTTAATCACAACCAAAAGCATCAAGAATTAAATTCAAAATGAACTTCAGAAATTAACTAAAAAAGGAAAATACAAATTGTCAAGATTAATTTAAGGATTAAATAAAATCTAATTAAAAACTAATTAACTAAATAAACTAAAATCTAATTTAAACTAATTAAAATAAATTATAAATAAACTAAAATTTAGTTAAAATTAATTAAACTAAAGTTCTAATAAAACTATTGAATGAGTTACATGTTTTTTATGCTTTTATGATATTTGATAATTTGTGTATCTACAAAAGATAAATTTATTTGGCTTAATACATCAAATAATAATAAATAAACTTAAGTCCAAAAACATTCTATGACTATTATACATAAAGAAGTAATTTATATTATATGAAAAACAAATGTGGTATGACTACCAATATCATGTGCACGTAATTTGTCAGGAGAAAAAAACATGTATACTAATAATATTAAACAAATAAAATGGCCTATATAGCTATTATACAATTAACTAAAACAAATGTTACTACACAGAATAAAGACATGAAAAATTAACAGAAACACACATACTTTTTTCTTCTTCCCTTGCGGGGGGAGAGAGAGAGAGAGATTTGCAAAACAACCCAAAGCAATATATATATATATATATATATATATATATATATATATATATATATATATATATATATATATATATATATATATATATATATATATATATATATATATATATATATATATATATATATATATGCAAGTGCACGACAACTATCTGGTGACACGGGTTGTGGTGTATTTTGTGTACGTGTGAAGTGTGTATGGGATAGTGCTGAATAAAATGTGTGTACTTTTAGGTGTGCTTTTATAGGCTATAGGGATTGAACGCCATCAATTATCATTTTCGTTTCAGCTTATTGTGTTTGATTCTGTCCCGATTCATGTTTGAAACATGTTTTGATATTTTTCTTTTTAAGTTCGACATGTCTGATATGTGTTAATTGATTAATTAAATTTGTCATGATCATGCAGTATGCTTATTTACACAAAAATGAGACAAAAATAAAAAAAAAAATTAAATATTATGTTTTTGTGTTTTTAGAAGAAGAAACATAATTAAATAGGATATTTTTGTGTTTTTTATAAAAAAAAGAAAATATTAATAAACAAATTAAAAATAAAATTAATTAATAAAAATTTAAATTTAAATTTAAATTAAATATCTAATTAAATCTAAATATATTAAATTATTATTTAAATAAAAATAATTTAAAAACGAAATAAAAAGTCGGACAGAAAAGTGCTTGAAAAAAATAAAATGAACACACCAAAATAATCAGTATGAAATAAACATATTGGAAAAATACAATATTTGGTCAAATTTTGAAATAAATTAGACCGGTTTGTCTGTAAATTTAACAAATTTATTATGACTGACATTTCAGACAC